AAGTAATAGTATATATTGTTATAAAAAGCTTTAAGCATAAATATTAAATGTTTAAGGCATTGGAAAAGCGGTCCCCTTGCCTGGAAGCGTATAACGCTTCCAGGCGTTAAGAGGGAAGCTTAATAAGCAAGGAGGATAGGGAGTTACGTGTATATAAAGGGCAGAGGCCTTTACGGGACCCTGCACTTCAAATCCTTTCTTCCTTAAAGCATATTAACCGGAATAGCCTTACACCGTGCCTATCCCTTCTACCTACAACAATTATTATAAATTTTGTCGTTAAATTCCTTAAATTTAAAAAGCCTTTAACGGGAATACAATATAACAATATATTGGTAATAATAAACAAGCTTACAAAATATGCTTTATATTTACTATACAAAAAAAGTAACAACGCGTTTATTTTAACTTACGCTTTTTTTCGGCACGTAATAACAAATTACGGAATGCCGCAAAAACTAATTACGAACCGAAACAAGCTATTTACAAGCAAATTTTAAAAAACGCTTACGGCGCTTTTCGAAGCAAAATACGCTTTATTAATAGCATACCACCCCCAAACGGACAAATAAACGAAACGAACCAATAAAACGATAAAGCAATATTTGCGCCATTATATTACTTACAAATAGGATAACTGGGTTTAATTATTACTAATTGCCCAATTCGTTTACAATAGCTTTATGCATAAAAGCATAAAAAAAACGCCGTTTTACGCTAATTATAAGTACATCTTTACGGCGTACAACGAGCCCAAAGCCGGATTTAAAGCTTTAACAACGGAAATTTAAATAACGGAACTTACCAAATTATACCAAAACTTCCAAAATAAATTGGAAACCTTGCGTTACCGAATAACAAAGCAAACTAATAAAAAAAAATCGAAAAATTAACTTTTAAAGAAAGGGATAACGCTTACCTTTTGCGCGCTAATATTAAAATAAAAAGGCCAAACGATAAGTTAAACAAAAAGAAATGGGAACCTTTTCGGGTTATTCGTATTATTTTTCCAATTAATTACGAATTTTAACTATTACCAACCATGCGCATCCACCCGGTTTTTTACGTTTTTTTGCTAAAATTAGCGCTTTCGGGCTTTAAAAGCACCGAATTAATGGAAATTAACCCTAACCAAAAATAAAAAATCGAAGCCGTCCTTAACGAAAAAACGCATTACCGCAAAAAAACAATATTTTGTTAAGTAAAAAGGCTAAAAAAACGAACATAACATATAAAAAAGTGCAACAAATTTTGGAAATTGCCAAAAAGCTTTGCAAAGGTATCGCTTAAAAAAAAGTTAGCAATAGCCCTAAAGCTTGCGAAACGCCCCAAATTCGGAAGAATTTGGTAAGCAAAGGAAAAAGGACACCACAGCATATCCAAGGGATAAGCTGGCAAGCTTAAGCAAAAAAGGATGCCGGAGCCTTCCCTTTACATGCATAAGACGAAAACTCCGATAAAGGTTGCACCGGGAGTTAAACCCAAATTTTCCCGTTACAAAAACAAATGCGCTACCATTGCGCTATACGACCAAAAAAAGTTGTTAAAAAAATTACAACTTATTAAACTAAAAAAAGGCCAGCGGGTTAAAGTTAAAATTAACCCTTAACGCTGCCCAGCCAAAAAACAAAGGAAAAAAGTTAGGTTAAGGCTAAAAAGCAAAACCAGCCACCGCTAAAGCAACGGCTTGCTTAGCTTTTTCCAATTTAACGCGCTTTAATTCCTTTACGCTATTAATGCCGCGGCAAATAATACGCATTATTTTTTTAAATTACAGGTTTTTTTAAATGCGCAAGCGCTAAACCCAATTGCTTTTAACACGCATTAATTTTTCAGTTTAACGGCAAAATCGCTTAGCAATAGTAAGCTTAGCGTTTAGCTTGGAATGTTATTTAGCAATTTTGCGTAATTAATTAAAAAAAACCCCCAAAACGTTGCACCAAGCACGCTTTAAACGAACGCATTCGGTATAACGAAAAAAATCTTTCGAAAATATTTAATAAAAAAAAACCAACGGCTTTACAAGCAAAACAAAAAGGCATTAAAATCGAAAAGTTAAAAACGGCAAATAACAAAGCGTACCGCTGGATAATTTTCCGAACCGGACGTTTTTAAATTTGCCCGAACATTTTGTTAAAAAAAGGGAACGGTTAAATAATAAAAAAAAAGTATTTACAATTAACAAAAAGGTAAAAAAATAATAATACGTAGCCAAAAGGGTTTGGCCATTAAAAGAAGGACTTAATGTTATAACCAATAACTACCTTTACTTAAAAGGAAGGGGTAGTACGGCACGAAACCCTTTATAAAGGGTAAAAGGTTACGTAACCACCTTGGGTTAATGGATTAAAAAAGCAGGAAAGGTAAACCACTAATCCGAAAAAGGATTAAAAAGGCTTACGGAATCGACCTTGTAAACCAACTAATCCACAACCCCAAAAGGGTAATTAATAAGGTATAAAAAGGAAGGGTTTTTTATTGTCCTAAGTAATTTTTAATTGGGGCTTCGGCATTAGTTAAACTTTAATTAGCTTCCAAATAACCCTTGGAGCAAGCATTTAAACCGCACCCAAATTACCTTATAAATCCCTTCAATTTGTTAAATTACGTGCTACTATTCGATACTCTTCCGGTGCCTTACCTTAAGAGCAGAGGCTTAACTGTAACAATTCGTTTTTTTCCGTTTTTTTTGGGCATAAATAAGGTTTTGTGTTTTATTGGAAATGTTAAAGGTTTAATTACCCCCTTTTTTAAATTTTTTTGTAATTGCTTTTTTAACTTTTTTTGTTGTTTAGGGTTAAGTTAATACAATTTTTGGTATTTAAATTGCGCATTCGGCTTTAATTTAATTTCGTAATTAAACGGCCCGTATTTTGGAAATACCGTTTTTAAGTTTTTTTGGAATAACCTTTAATATTTATGGTATTTCGGAAGTACGTTAATTAATTGTTATAGCTTTTGTTTAAATCCATTGTAAAGCGTTGTTATGGTTTTTTGTAATAAAATTTAAAGGTTGCTGCTTTGCTTTATCCTTATTAAAATACCTTTTTTCGGTTTTATTTTTACATTGCTTGCGGCCCGTAATTATTAAGCTTTTTTAATTGCTAGTAAAAGCTTTTATTAAAGGTTGTTATTTTTTTAATTAATTTTTAAATTATGCTTTCGTAATTACGGAATTTTAAAAACCACATTTTCGTTCCGTATTTCCAACGCGTTTAGCATTATTTAAAAAGGTTTGTTTTGGTATCGAAAATTAAAATAATTGGTTTTAATATGGATCCATTTGTTATTATATTTAATTGGCTTTTTTTTATTATCGTAAAAAAGTATAGCTTGTTTTTTTTGCCTACAGGAATACCGTATCGTAATATTGCTTGTAACGATACGTAATTGCTTTAAGCATTGCAATTAATTAAGGTTTTTAAGCAATAAAAGCTTTATTGCACCCGTATATAAAAATGTTGTTCGTTTGGGCTAATCGTTATTGCTAAAGTTTTTATTGTAAATAATTATTTTTTTGTAGCTTTAGTACAAATGGATTTTTTAATTTTTTGTTTCGAAATGCTTCGTTTAAAGCTTAAATAGGCTTGTTTTTTATTTTTTGCGTACTTTTACGTAATTTAAATTATTGGGGTTGCTAGGAAATTTATACAAGCTTTTTACGTTTTTGTTATACCGTATTAATATATATGGAAATTTGTATTTTATTTGCTATGCTTTGGCTTTTTGTATAATGTAGATTTAGCATTCCAATTTTTTGCATTTTTGCTATTTTAAAATTTTAGCAACGCAAAGCATAAGCTATTAAAAATTGGATTAAAACATTACTAATTTTCCGTACTTTTTGGTAATAAACCATTTGGGTAGCTATTACGTTAGCTTTGGTTTGGTAATAAGCTTATTGGTTTATTAACAAAGGAAAAAATTATTTCGAAGTTTTTAAACCAAGTATATTGCGCAATTTGTAAAAAAACATTTTTTTTAAAATAATTACAAATGCTTTTGGTAATTAAGCATAAAGCTATTATGGTTTTTTTTTAATGCTATTTCGCAACCTTTTAGCCCATTTTTGGTTATATATTTGCAACCGGATGTACTTTTGGTACGTAATTGGGTGGTTGCTATTAAGCTAATTAATAAAGCGCTTAAAGTTGTTTTTAGCTAATGTAATTTCGTAAAAAGTGCCGTTTTCGTTTAGTAAATTAACGTTTCCAAAGCGCCGTTAAACTTTAACTTTGCTTTAAGCTTTTTCGCCTTTTTAAAATTATTTAATTACGGTTTTTGGGCGTGCCGGGTGCAAACCTTTTTTTTGCTTTTGCATTGCAAGCCCGCTTTAACGGAACGTTTTGTAGCTAATTTAATTTAACATTGCTGCGCATGCATATGCTAAACCGTTGGATTGGTTGCGATTTAGCTCGTTTTTTTTAGCTAACGTTCGGTTTGTATTTAAAAATCCTGCAAATTAATGCTTTGGTTGCGTTTTAATTTGTACTTTCGTTGGTACCGTTTTTAGTACGCCGCCCGTATGTATTTTTGCGAAACGCGGGCGTTTTTAGCGTACCGGCGGAAGTTGCTTAAACTTTTTCCGTTGTTTTCTTTTTTAAATTTGCTGCTTTCGAACGTTATTCGTTCGTAAAAACTTTTGCTTGTTATTTAAGCTTTAATTGGTTTAAAAATAGCGAAATCCGGGTTTTAAAATTTTTTTACAACATTTTTTATAGTTAGCTCATTTTTTTTTTGCTGCTTTTTGGTTTAAAATTAAGGATTAAACTAGGTTTGGCCCAAAATTTTGGGTTAAGCTTTTATTGGGTTGCTTCGTTTTTAAGGTTTTTTTTTAACCGAAGTACCCGAAATTCCTTTTTGTTCCGCAGCGCGCAAAAGCTGCTCCCAAAGTATTTCGTTTCGTAATTTGGGGTTTTTCCAAAAGTTTTTGTTAATTTAAGTTTAATTGCTTTCGTTATTGGAATTGGCTGAATTATTGTTGCAAATTGCTATAAGGTTTTTTCGTTTAATTATAGCCAATCGTTTGCAAAAAAACCATTTTGTTGCATTTTTATTAAAATAGTAAATAACGCAATGGTTGTTAATGCATGCAATTTAAAAAAACGCCGGGCCAAAATAGCCGTTATTTTTTAAATTTATTGTTTTTTTCCTGGTTACCGCTGCTATTTTAAATTTGTCGTTTTAAAATACTTTTTTTTGTTCCTTTTTTTAAAAGCAATTTTTTTTAACGTGCTTAAATTATTTACATTAAAAATATTTGTTATTTTTAAAGGTTTGGAATTTGCGTTTCTTTTGCTTTTAATGCATAACGCCGGCGTTAAAATTTATAAGGTTAAAGTAATAACTATAAGCTATAAATTTGTTGCTGTCGAACCGTTGTTGCGGTTGGTTGCTTTATATTATAAATTTGGTTTTTTGGCTTTTTTTTTCCAAACGGCGCTTATATAGCTTATTGCTGGTTTTAACCACGATAGCAACGTATTTAACGAAAAATTCGGGTTGGTTAATTTTTAAAATTTCGTTTTTTACGTTATTTCGGAACTTATTGTACAAATGGGCCATTTTGGTTTGGTTAGTTTAGTTAAGCTTGTTAATAAAGCGTTGGAAATTGGAAACGTACCTTAACGTTGCGCTTTTTTGTTAAAATTAAAATATTTTTTTTCGGCAATTTGCTATTCGTTAACCTGGCCAAACACGTTAATAACCTTTTTTTCGAACCGGGTAAAGCTAGCGAAAATAATTTTGGTTTTTTTTTGCTTTTATTGTAATTTTTAAAAAAGTTTGCCCATACGGGTTCGAACCATTCCTTTACTTTATTTTTAAAGTAAATGGTTGCGTAAATAACCTTTTGTTTTTTAATTATAAATTAAATTTGGTAAAAAGCGAAATACTTTTAATATTTGGTTAAAAAAGCTTTAAAAGTGCCTTTTTTACCGTTGTACCGGTTAGGGGTAAGGAATTTGTAAGTTCGAACCGCCGTTTGTAAAACGCTAGCTTGTTGCTTAAATTGGGTAAGGTTTGCGGTTATAGCTATAAACGCGGCTTTAGCTTCCGTTACTTTTATTATATTGTAAGTTTTGCTTGCGTAGCTAAAATATTTGTTATTCCTTTTTGTAAAGGATTCGCCGCTTTTGGTTGCTATTGCTACTATTTAGTACCGGTTCGGGTGCTAAATAAAATTAATTAAAATGTTGCAATTAAACTTTTGCTTTTAAGGTAAAGTACCAAAAAAGTATCGAACAATAGCACGTATTTTAATAAATTAAAGGGGATTTACAAAATAACCTGGGTGCGGTTTAAATGCTTGCTTTAAGGGTTATTTAAAAGCTAACTAAAGTTTGATTAATGCCGAAGCCTTAGTTAAAAATTACTTAGGACAATAAAAAACCCTTTCCTTTTTATACCTTAATGCTTACTTTTTTGGGGACGTGGATTAATTGGCTTACGAAGCCGACTTTGTAAGCTTTTTTAAGCCTTTTGGATCGGTGGCTTACCTTTCCTGCTTTTTTAATCCATTAATTCCAGGTGGTTACGTAACCCTTTACCCCTTACGGGGTTTCCGTGCCGTGCCACCCTTCCTTCCTGGGCAAAGGTGGTTGTTGGTCGTAACAAGTAATTAATTTTAAATTTTTTTCGTTAATTTGTTACAATTAAAATTACAATTTCCTTTTGTTATATTGCTTTTGCAATATTGCAAAATTCCAATATTTTTAATTACTAATTAAGCTTTAATGCTTTAATAAATAATTTTAAAATGCTTTTTTTTCGTTCCCCAATAGGTTTGAATACCGCCAATATGCATTTGCCGCTATCCAAACGCTTAAGCCCGTTTGCCGTATTATTTGGAAATTTTTCCATTTTTTTTTAAATAAGCAATGGTATTTTTTACTACAACGTACGTTTAAAATGCAATAATTGCTTTAGCGTATTGCGTTAAGCATGCCCTTTACGAACTTTCCAAAATGTGTTACACTTTGCATATTTTTCGGGATTTAAATGTATTGCATTATTAATTTAAAGCGTTTTTTATATTATACCGTTTTTATTTAACTTTTTGTTTATAAGGTACGATATTTTACGGTTATTATAAACCGCTTACGGGTTTTTTTACGTTTTTCCCCAGTAGCTAACCGGTTTGGCACGTTTAAAACATTTTTTTAAGCCATTTTTTTGGCTTTTGTTATTCCTTTCCTGTAATACCCCCGTTTTTTCCGGGTATTTACCCGCTAAAGTCCGGTATTTTTTTATTTTGTAAATTTGCTTTTAATAAATTTGCTTTATACGCTTAAACAATTTTTTTCGTAATATCTTTTTTAAAAATTTACAAATTTTCCAATTCGTTATAACTTATTTATTTAACAAAGTATTTTCGTTTCCGCAAAAGCCCTTTATATTTTAGCAAAGCCTTTATTTTAAAGCGATTTTTTTTTTCGTTTTAATTTTTGGTTTTTTATTTTTTAGCTTTTCGCGGGGTTTTTTTTAAACGTTTGTAATAAATTTGCCGGAAATACGTTGTATATTCGGCAGCTTATAAAAAGTTTTAACCGGAACGTTAGCTTGGCCAATCCAACCATTTTTAAAATTTAAAAAGGTTTTAACCATTTATCCAATAGCTTTTTTAACGGTTTTTTTATTTTAATGTTTGCCGTATTTAATAATACCCAATTGCTTACCCCAAAAAGCACCGGGGTTTTGCTTTTATTATAGTACTTTTTATACGTATTATTCGCTTTTTTTAACAATTTTTTGGTTTGCTTTTTAATTATTTCCAAAGCCCCCGCTTTAACTTTAACCGTTGTTAAAGCTTTTTTTTAATTATTTAAAAGTTATAAAGCTTTTGCGGGTAAAACCTTATTAGCAAAAACGCCGGGGTTTTTTTGCAACCTTAAATGCACGCTCGTATTGTGCATTTACGCTGCTAAATGCAATAACAACGCCCAATCGTTTTGCTTTTTGCAGCAAAAGCACCGAAAGTAATGCTTTACTATTTGGTTCGTTCGTTCCGTTTGCCCGTTAATTTAAAAATGATATGCTATTAATAGCTTTTTTGCAACTTTTAAATATCCGGCAAAGGTTATTTAAAACCCGTTTGTAAATAATTTGTTCCAATTTAACACAATCCTTTTGGGCGTTTTTAATAACCCCTAAACGTATGCAAATAAAAAGTTTTTTAATTTTTTATTAATTAATTTCGTAAACGTTAAAATAAAAAAGTTATATTTAATAAATTGGTTAACCATTACCAATATTGCATTGCGCTTTTTACCGGCTTTATTTATTAACGTTAAAATTTTTTCGATAAAATCCATTAATAGCTTTTGTCCCGGGCGGTTTGGCACGGGCAAAAATGCTAGCAATCCGTAAAGTATTTATATTTTCGGCTTCGTTTGCTAGCATATTTAACACGTTTGCACGTATTTGCGTACGTTTTTAGCTATACCTAACCATTTAAATTTACCGTTTAAATTTTTTTAAAATTTTGGCCATGCTTTTGTAACCCTTTATTAAGTTATTGTATTATTTTTAAAGCATTGCCCGTTGCAACGGCGCTAAATTTGGAACCTAAACTTTTTTTTTATGTTTAAACAAACCGTTATTAATTTTTTAAACGTTGGGCTTGTTTTTTTAAATACCGCTTTAAACGAAATCGTTTTTTGCTTATATTTTAAAAATGCGCTGCAATGTTATTTTAATATTTTCGTTAATAATGGTTGTTTTAATTTGGGCTATTATTTTAAATTTAGCTAGCAAATTGCCTCGGAATTCCTTTTTTGCCATATCGGCTTTGCTATTTGCAAGCATATTTTGGGGGCGTTTTAACAATTTATTTGCAAAGTTTCGGTATTCCGGCTTTTATTTAATTGTAAAATCGTATTTCGTTAAATTTTCGAATTATTTCGTTTAGCGTTTTATTACCTTTTTTTCGTTATTATGTAAATATGGTTTAAATGGTTGGTAATTATTTTAACAATTTTTTGTAAGTAAGCCAAATAATGCCGTTACTTTTTAAAAGCTTTTACGATTGCCAATAATTTTAAATTAAAAATTGCATAACGCAACTTTCCTTATTGCAACTTTTTCGATATGTAAGTTACCAAATGTTACCGGCCGTTTTGTAATTGCAATAGCACCGCTTTTATTGCAAAAGCCAAAGCGTTAATCCGCACGCACAGCAATTTCGAAAGGTTAAAATGCACCAATACCAAAGCTTTCGTAAATAGCAACTTTAATTTGCAAAAAGCTTTTTTCGCAACATTTTTTAAATAAAATACGGTATTTTTGCTAAAAAAATTTGTTAAAAGCACAATAATTTTTGCGTAACCTTTTACAAATTTCCAATAATACCCCGTAAAGCTTAAAAATATTTGGATATTTTTAACGCTTTTTGGTATTTTCCACTTTAAAATTGCAATAACCTTATCCAACAAAATTTCGATCCCGAATTTGGTTATCCTAAACCCCAAAAAATCGATACTATCCGTTTTAAATTTGCATTTAACCGGGTTAACGTAAAGCTTAAACCGTTTAAATCGTTTTAGCACCGTTTTTATTGCTTTGCGGTGCTTTTTTTATATTTTCGAAAAAATAAGGATATCGTTTAAATATATAATGCAATTGCTATTAATTAATTTTCCAAACGCTATATTAATAAAGCTTTAAAACGTTGTTAAAACGTTGGCTAAGCCGAAAAGCATTATTAAATATTCGTAATGTTCGTATTTACAACAAAAAGCGGTTTTTTATTCGTTTTTTTTCCGGATTCGAATCCGGTAATAAGCATTTTTTAAATCTAATTTGGTAAAGTACTAATTTTTAAATACCCGGTTAAATATTTTATAAATTAACGGAAATGCTAGCCGGTTTTTTTTAGTAACTTTATTAAAATTTCGGTAATTAATACAAAAATAAAATTTTTTATCCTTTTTTAAAACAAATAAAATTTTAACGCCGGCGGGATTGGTTAAATGCCAAATCCAACCCTTTGCTATAGCTTTGTTAAAATACCCCCGGAAAGTTTTTAATTCCTTTTTGGATAAAAAATAAATGCTTCCGTAAAACGGTATCGTTTTTTTTCCAACTTAATCGCGTGGTTTTAATTTGTATGTTTTAACAAAAGGTTTAATTTATAAAGCTGCGCATATTTTGCAACCATTTTTTTAACCCATTCCGGAAAAGCTTTTAGCTTTTTCCCGGGGTTTTTCGAAATTTTTAAACGTGCAACCGTTAGTACGGTTATTGCTTGTTCCAATTAAACCAAATTTTTAGCTATTTCCAACAAAATTATTTTAATTTTTTTAATAATTACCAAAAATTTCCATTTTATATTTCCAAACCGGATTTTAATATTTTTTTGCTAAAACCAAAGCATGTTTAACGTAATGTTATACCCGGCCCAAAGCATTATTACGTAAAATATTATTAATTTTCGGGTTATTTCCTAATTATCCGTTATTTAAATTTTGCACTTTTTCCTTTTTTATGTAAGCATGCGCTTTTTGGTATCAAATTACGTTAAATGGCCCCCATTTAATACCGGTATTTTTTTTGCTTCCATTAACAAACAATTATGCATTAAATTAATGTTGCTTTTATTATTAACCAATGCTTTTAATTTTACCCGGCAACTGTTAATCCGTAAATATACTTTGGTTTTTTAACGCGTTTTAACCGCCGGGGCGCACTTTTAAATTTCGGTGCCCAAACGGTTAAATAACGGTATCGAATTGGGTAGCAATATTTTGCTTTTTTTAAAGCACGCCGGCCGGATATAGCTTAGCTTTTTACACCCGTAATACCGTATTTCGAGCTTTTTTCCCTTTGCTTTTTATATAATTGCTAAGCCAATGGGGTTTCCGGGTTATCCGTTCGTATTTTGCATATTGCAACAATATAACCCAATTGCCCGTATTTAAAGCAAATAACCGGCTTTTTAAAAGCTGGAATATTTGTATCCCCCGGGGTCCTTTTAAATTATTCCAATATTATTTCGGCTTTAAAAGCTTTGGTTTACAAATTTTCCATTATATAAAAAAGGCCGCCAAGCGTTACCCGTTTTTAAATTTTAAAGCGAAACCGGTTAAATAGTAATATTTATATATTTATACTTTATTTAATTTATAAGAAAGACCTTAATGCTATTGTTAAATGTTGCGTG